AAGTTCTAAATTACATCTTTTCTTGTGGTCACTGTGTCGGAGATTGGCACAATGGCCCGAACGAATCTAACAATTCACATAGTGGCCTTTTCTTATCTTCATCCCATACATTACAACACACATAAGGAATGCTTGAAATTGCTGTTAATATCAAACTCCACACATTATGGTTTTGTCTGCACATTTATTTGTATGGGGTTTAACGTATAAATTTGACACATTAATGATGAATAATATAATAACCATAGTATACCGAACTAAAACTTTATGTCTTCTTGTTGATAAAATTGTTACTTTAAAATAGTATTTCGGTACTACAATATTTGATCTGATAATGGAGGTGACCACTGAAAAGGAGGCAGGTAGTGTACACATTTTGGACCTTTGTGGGCACAGTGAACATCCCAACGAAGAAGGCACAGGATTTCTTCAGCTACTATTATTATTTATTAATTTTGGTTCTTTGAGTCAGGGTGTCTCTATATATAGCCGTGTCTATCCTGGACCTTGCTGTGTGGATCAGCTTGGCCTTGAATTTAGACAGATCCCGCATTTGTACCTTCTAAGTGATGCGTTTAAAGGCATGCAACACCATGCCTGGCTCTGTTGTCATGTATTATTGTGTGTTTGTATAGTGTGTGTGTGTGTGTGTGTGTGTGCCCCAGTACACATGTAGCCTTAGAACCTTTATATGGGTGTTTAGAATTAAACTTCGGTGGCCAGGCTTACATAGTCAGGAATCAAGCACCTTGATCCATCTCACCAGCCCTTATCACCCTATTCTTGAGGCAAACATTCGATGGTTTATTGTTTTGTTTCTATTTGCCAATGTTAGACCATGTTTACTGCAGGGAGGTAAAGCCATGGGAAGTGAACCCTTAGATAAGGGTAGCACTATTTTGGTCCAAATAGTGCACCTGTCATGGCCCATGGAAAATATGCACAATGACAGCTTCCAGAAGTTAGGCAAGATAGTACAACTCGAGAATTAATACCTGGTGTGTCAAGTACTTGGTTTGTCTGATCCTAAGGTCTCTGAATTCAAGCTGCAAAACTTTTTAACATTGAGGAAATATTGATGTAATTCTTGAGATAGTGTTAGTAGGACTAGGTGCCTCACTGCTGCAATGATTTTGGGGAATTTTAGTTTGCCAATAGATGCCAGTAAATTGGAATAGTA